TATGGTATAAGTATGTATGGTATTTATAGTATGGTATTGTATTGTATGGTATGTATGTATGGTATAGTATATTTTTATGTTTAGTTTAGGTTGTTTGCTTTTAACCAACTTTTGCATCCCTTTGAAAGTGAAAGAGTTATTTAAAAAAAAATTCAAGTTTATTTCCTTCTTATATTTTTATCACCTGTTGCCATGAAAGACTGCTCATCATTGCTTGTGTCTGTCTGTTAGCAAAATATCCCATGAACTTGAAGGTTTTTAATTCAATTTTTAAAGTAATGTTTTAATAAAAGTGCATCTGTTGCTTAACTTTTGCAGAAAACCCAAATAAGATGGCTGCCACAGCTAAGTGACATCATAAGACCCAGTAATGGATTCAAGGCAGCCATTTTGACAGATGTTGAGCTGAAACCTAACGTGGTCGTAGCTGAGAGTCCTTCCCATCACATGATCTGAGCACAACACCTTTGTTTAAAACGTTGGGTTGTTGCTTTAAGGAAAAATATTTGTATGTAGTTTGTTTTGCTTGAATTTAAAAACTCGGTGAGAGCTTCCTGTAAACACGTTATTTACCTGTAAAACTTGTTTAGACAAATTGGAAGCACAAAAGACATTTTCTGTCTGTTCTTTGTTACGACACAAAGGGCTGCATCAGGAATGGAGCTGTTTGCACCTGCTGTGTCTCTGTGCACTGAGTGAGACGTTCCACTGTCTCCAGGACTGAACAGAACTCCAGAACAGAGACGTTGGCGCGTGGAGCTGTGCTTCAAACTGAACACGCCTGTTTGCTCTCACAGAACCACGGCATCGATTACGGAGACGTATCCCAGAGGATCGCTCTGAGGAAGAGTCTGCAGTGCCGGAGCTTCCAGTGGTACCTGGACAACGTTTACCCCGAGATGAGGCGCTACAACAACACGCTGCACTACGGCGAGGTGAGCCAAGAGTCCAGCTCAGGCCGAGGACAAGAAGACATGATCTGTGAGTTCACGTTGAAGCCACGGGCAGGAGACACGGGAGACAAAGTCACATGAAGGAAACAACAGGAGGAACAGAACATGACAGGGATTTACGCACAATCCACAGACCAAGGACAAAACACAAAGACACCGAAGTTAAAGGGACACTAACGAGACATAATGAGCAACACCTGCGGTGATTAGGACTGAGGACAGGTGAGATGGAGACAACAAGGAAGAGAAAAGAGGACAAACAGACCTGAGGACAAACAGACCTGAGGACAAACTGACCAGAGGACAAACAGACCAAAGGAAAAATAAACCGTAGGACAAACAAACCAGAGGACAAACAGACCAGAGGACAAACAGACCAAAGGACAAACAGACCGTAGGACAAACAAACCAGAGGACAAACAGACCAGAGGACAAACAGACCAGAGGACAAACAGACCGTAGGACAAACAGACCATAGGACAAACAGACCGTAGGGCAAACAGACCGGAGGACAAACAGACCGGAGGACAAACAGACCAGAGGACAAACAGACCAGAGGACAAACAAACCAGAGGACAAACAGACCTGAGGACAAACAGACCAGAGGACAAACA